TAAACCTTCAAAACATAATATTAGAATGTATGTTTTCCCGTGATTTTGAGAAAGTAACTATACTCTATTATCAGGGGTCGCCAACCGGTAGCTCGCCACCTCCTTCCATGTAGCTCGCCACCTCCTTCCATGTAGCTCGCCACCTCCTTCCATGTAGCTCGCCACCTCCTTCCATGTAGCTCGCCCCCTCCTTCCATGTAGCTCGCCCCCTCCTTCCATGTAGCTCGCCCCCTCCTTCCATGTAGCTCGCCACCTCCTTCCATGTAGCTCGCCCCCTCCTTCCATGTAGCTCGCCCCCTCCTTCCATGTAGCTCGCCCCCTCCTTCCATGTAGCTCGCCCCCTCCTTCCATGTAGCTCGCCCCCTCCTTCCATGTAGCTCGCCACCTCCTTCCATGTAGCTCGCCCCCTCCTTCCATGTAGCTCGCCAAAGGATTTAGAAATGAACAAATCTAATTATACCTAATCTATCACATTGTGTTATTCATTATAAGTATTTGTTATTGTAAATCTAATTGTAAATGCACTTTCTTTGTCACTAGTAACAAATATGTGATGATAAATGATGACTGTACCCAATATCATTCTCATTCGCACCAATATATCATTAAAAAAAAATTCCCCGGGCTAATTAAAGTTGTAGCTCTCTGCCTTTATCGTCCCGGTGTAGCAGGCCAGTTTAACCCCCCGCCAGAATACACCCCGGGGTTAAAGTAGCCTAGGCCAGAATACACCCCGGGGTATAAACTGGCCTAGGCTATTTTAACCCCCCTTAGGCCAGATTAACCCCCCCTTTCATTTTGTATGATAACAATAAAATACAAGCAATATTATTTTTATTTCTTTATTTCTTACTATATACATTTAGGAAAATCAAACAAAGTATGAAAAGCAATCACACTAATTAGGGCTATAGAGTAATTAACAAACTACTTCTAAATGATTTTGAATAATTTTGAAGTTTAGAAAAAATATTTAATAACGTATATTTTATCATTATTAGATAAAACAAGAGGGGGGTTAATCTGGCCTAAGGGGGGTTAAAATAGCCTAGGCCAGAATAAACCCCGGGGTTTAAAACGGCCTGTTACACCGGGACTGTAGCTCTCTGGCTTTATCGTCCCGGGACTATAGCTCTCTGGCTTTATCGTCCCGGGACTGTAGCTCTCTGGCTTTATCGTCCCGGGACTATAGCTCTCTGGCTTTATCGTCCCGGGACTATAGCTCTCTGGCTTTATCGTCCCGGGACTATAGCTCTCTGGCTTTATCGTCCCGGGACTATAGCTCTCTGGCTTTATCGTCCCGGTACTGTAGCTCTCTGGGTGTTAAAAGGCTGGAGACACCTGCTCTAAATACTAAAGTTTACCCCCCAACACTGTCTTTGTTATGGTATATTTAGTATTGTGCGTTTAGTCGAGTGGATACCAAACACAATACAATCATAAACAACCTTTCTCAGTAACAAATAAAGCTAATGCTGGTAAACTTTGGCGTGTCGGGGCTGTGTGGTGTTTACTGTTAGAATATGTACTCTCACGGCGCCACAGTTCATGACACTTTCTATAAAAAGAAATGTCTTAACTGATGGGGAAAACAAAACAAAATGTAATTCGTGTTAAAGCCGCCCACACTTCCTGCTGCTGTTGCTCCACCACAAAGTCACACGAGCTGCAGCAGAAACAAGAGCAGAGGCTTCAGTCCTGAGAGGAGCCGCTTCTGAAGTGGCTCTTTTGATTTTAAACACGCTTTGGCAACGATTTTTCCACTACGCCTTATCTCACCGTGTTCTAGTTGGTTGTCAAAGTTGTATATGTTTTATCATGTGTGTCTGTGGGTCTCCAAAGGTGCGTTTGTGTACTGAACCAGGAGGGTCTGTGGGACAGTTAGAGTCTGACAAGAAGGACTGTGCTGATGATATTGTGTTTTAACTGTTGATTCTCTGATCTGTGTTGGTGATTTCAATGGTTTTGTTAAGTCTTTGAGATAATACTGTTGTGATTTAGGGCTATACAAGAATAAATTGTGTTATATTGTGTTGTATACTTGTTATTGTTTTCATTTCGATGTCCCGTCTTCCACCGTTTCACCAATCAGAAAGTCTGTAATCCGGGCGCCAGATCTCACCCCGTGGAGCTAATCTCACTGGTAAAATACCATGTGGCGCAGAACTAAGAAAGGTCTCGTTATGTTTCTCAAATCATTAACGACAAAACAAGGAATAAAACCAGGATTTCTATCTTTGTGAAAAAGGTGTTGGTTATAGATTTGTTGTTGATTAAACTCTTGTCTATTCAGCTGTTATGGTCCCAGCTGGATTCGTCTGCATATCTGGCAACCTGAGTCAGGGAGAGTGGGAGAGGCTGCAGTACCACTTTTGGCCACATGTTTACACACTGCTCCTTTAAATAAATCTTCACCATACTACGGTGAAAACAAAATGATAATAAAGTGAGAATCCTTGAGCAGCTTCATGTGACGAACCGTTTGTTACCCAAGAACCATTAAACATAAACCGCCACAAAATTGACAACCACAAATATTTTCACATTCCTACAAAAGTTTACTCTTACACTTTACACTTAAATCTTAGGGTAAAGTTATATTTGGCCGTGAGCCTGGTGCATGTAACATTAATCTTGATCTCACAGACGCCTACGACAAATCTGCATCTGCTCCTGTTCAGAAAGTCTGCTCCGTCTAATGAGCTCAGACGGGTGAAGAGATCCTGAAGCATTTGACCCGGACATGAATCACTCACATGTGCTTCGTAAAGGACTCTAAAAGTCTGCATCAAGTCCAGGGGAATTAGGAGAGCTCTAAACAAGGTGCTCCGCTCTGCAAAGAGGACCGTGGGCTGTGAGCTTCCTGTTCTGGAGGTTCTTTATAAATCCAGACTTTTAAACCGAGCTCTTAGAATTATCAACGACTCTTCTGACCACCCTGGAAAAGCCATGTTCCAGCTTCTTCCCTCTGGCAGACGATATCGTTCTCTGAGATGCAGGACATCTCGTTATGCTTATAGTTTTTTTTTCCACAAGCTGTTATCAGTTTGAACAGAGCACTTTAATTTTCTTGCTCTTGTTGAAACTGTTTTAGCCGATCAATTTCACAGTTGTTGACAATTGTTTGCTTTTTTATTTGTTTTATGTCTGTACTTGTCTGGTGCACACTGGGGACTTTTACAGATGTATTCCAATGTGTTTTTTTACTGCAAATGGCAAATGAATGAATCTGAATCTGATTAAAAAGAATCAAAGAGCAAACTTTTCCACATATTTTTGTTTATTATGCAGGTTTGAACTAAAATAAGCGTTGTGACAGGAGGAGCTGCTGCAGATAAAACGGGGAACAGCAGCATCGCAAATGTAGAAAACAATAATAATAATAATAATAAATGCATGGTCAATGATTTATCAAATATGCAAAAACAATCAAATAAAATACACCTTCATCGTAAGGAGAAAAAGTTATTCATTTTTATAAATAAGAAAAATAATGTCAAAACAAATGGGGAAAAACAGTTTGATAACATTTCAAATATTTATCATTACTGGCTTTACAAATAATAACATAACTACAATTGGCAGGGATTTTACACAAAGTTATAATTCTGCTACGGTAAATGTGAGTTAAAAACAGATAGTTTTGTCAGCGAAAAAGTCAGTTTTTCCCACATAAAAGTTCAGAAAACACCAACTATAGCGGAAAAGTAATGCCATATTTTTCATTCATTTTTGTTCCTGTCACAAACGAGAAGTGTGTCGTCGTCCCCAGAGTGACGCCATGGCTTTGTCTCTCCCACAGAATGAGATTTTTCAAAGTCCCCTTTACCTGAGACAACACGTGGTTATTCATGACAAAACGATAGATGCAAGTTCAAGAAGACATATTGTGCTTTTGGCTGCAGTAGTTTTCATCTCTGACACATGGATCACGATGATACAATTGCACCACTTTAAGGTCTATTTCCTGCTAAAAATAATTTACCAAAATCTGCTGAGTTCAGTGTTTAAACTTGAGGCTCTAGTTTGTGCTTCTTTACACAACACGTAAACATGGTCGCCTAAAAAGCTGCAGATATTTTGGTTTTCATACGCCACTCCTGGATTCAAAAATAACAATAATATAGAAAGAATAGGATAGAATTAGCCTGGTCGTACCACACCATAGTACTCATTTCCTTTCGTACTGAGGTCTGGATTGTCTCCATTGACTCCGTGAACAGGTGGGAGGGGCTAACTCCTTTTGCAGATTGAAACCATTGGATCTGAGTTTACCGTGACGTATGTAATGAGCCCGAGTCTGTCGTTAGCATTTAGCATTTAGCCTAGCTTTAGCCATCTCCTTTGCCGCTAACGGAGCCTCTTGGATTCCTCTTGCTCCGGCTTTAATTTCTTGATAGAACCAGACCGGAATACTTTACTATCACATTATTTGCCATTTTAAAACTACAACCTTCCCGTTCGGCGCAAACTCTTGACGTCACCCACATCTAACTACAACACCCGCCTCCCGTGCTCGCTGATTGGTCGGATGGAATTTAACCCATTGTAATCTCAAACACAGGGACCAGACCCAGACGTTACATGCAGGAAATGATGATTGACCGGAGTGTACGGTTAGCTAAGGCCAGGCTAGGTTAGAATAGGATAGAATATAATTGCAGGTGTCAATGAAAACAGTGGTTGTTGGATCAATAGAAACTTCAATGCAGTAGAATAAACATAAAAATGCACAAATCAGGCTAAAAACTAGTCTGATAAAGTTTGGTCTGGTAAAGGAGAACTAATGATAACGTACAGGTGGATTTAGCACAATATGTCCTCCATGAACACATGTTAGACCGATACTGTGGGACTCTACAGACAAAGCAATAACGTCGCTTTACAGATTTGAGGGTTCCGTTTGAAGTCTGTCAGGACAAAAACACAGCAGTGAGCACAGATTTGATGTAAAAAGCAGAGTGTGAAATGTTCTTCAGAAACCCAGCTGCACGAGGATGTTAATATTCACCAGACGCTGCCTTCACACAGTCAGAAAGGGCTGGATCCCACAGACTCTCCTTCACACAGTCAGAAAGGGTTGGATCCCACAGACTCTCCTTCACACAGTCAGAAAGGGCTGGATCCCACAGACTCTCCTTCACACAGTCAGAAAGGGTTGGATCCCACAGACTCTCCTCCACACAGTCAGAAAGGGTTGGATCCCACAGACTCTCCTTCACACAGTCAGAAAGGGTTGGATCCCACAGACTCTCCTTCACACAGTCAGAAAGGGTTGGATCCCACAGACTCTCCTCCACACAGTCAGAAAGGGTTGGATCCCACAGACTCTCCTTCACACAGTCAGAAAGGGTTGGATCCCACAGACTCTCCTCCACACAGTCAGAAAGGGTTGGATCCCACAGACTCTCCTCCACACAGTCAGAAAGGGTTGGATCCCACAGACTCTCCTTCACACAGTCGCACACATTCATACGTGCGCAAACATGTACATGTAATCATCAAGAGGAGGAAAGTCTGTGTGGACTTCTCCCATAAACGGAATATTTACAATCAAACGGCTGAGTGGACTTTAATCTTTCTCACGTGTAAAAAAGAAAAAGTTCAACCCAAGCTCAAGTATAGAAATAGTAGTAATGATTTTGGGGTCTTTACAGATGTAACATGAAGGCCCTTGGAATAAAAGATTTTCACAGGGAGAAATATCCACAAAATAAACATTTCCACCAAATCACAGTTTGGTTTAGAATAAGATTGATAAGTAGCCTGGTCTTACCGCACCATAGTACTCATTTCATTTCATACTAAGGTCTGGATTTGCTCCATTGACTCCGTTAACAGGTGGGAGGGGTTAACTCCTTTTGCAGATTGAAACCATTGGATCTGAGTTTACTGTGACGTATGTAATGAGCCCAAGTGAGTGCGGCTTTTAGCATTTAGCCTAGCTTAAGCATTTAGCTTCAGCTTAAGCACTAACGGAGCCCGTGGGGAGTAGAGCCACAACATCTTTGCAGCAATGACATTTGCTAAACATTCCTCTTGCTCCGGCTTCAATTTCTTGATATTTGGAGATCTTTCTTGAAATTCGGTGAAAAACCTACAACACTCGCCCCCCCCCCCCCGCTCTCTGATTGGTCGGAGGGGATTCAACAAAAGAAACTGCAGCCACTAGGATCAGACCCAGACGTACATGTAGGAAATGATCATGGACCAGAGTTTACGGATGGATAATAACAGGCTAATGGAAAAGTGGTCACTGATTTTTATAGAATTGTCCATCCTGATACAAGGCTGTTTTGAGTCTACAGAAAAATGTTTGAACAAAAATAATATTTTTTTCTGAAAGTGATTCAAATGGCTTATTACTGTAGGCTACAATATACAGTAACAAAAAACTTATTGTGTTTATTTTCTTAAAAATGCATGTTTCTGTAAGATTAGACTAATAGAGCAAAGTATTAAAGCTGCAGATAGATGCAGACAAAGCTGATGATTTACTGATCCCATGTTATTCCTAAATGTCTTTTTTGTGAAATACTGAGATTGGCCTCAAGGTGGAAAAAAAACATCTTTTAAAATGATAAAAAAATGATTTGTTTTGTTTTGGTTACGCCCCCACCTCATGCAAAAAACTGTATAAAGTCTCGAGATCTCTACTTTCACTTCCTCTTCACAACCAGACCCCGGTAAAATGGCCTTTACAAAACCTCAGCCTGTAAAACTAAACCATACTGCGTCACTGGTGGAAATCAGATATCAACCAACACCAACAAAAATAGTTAAATAATACTAAAAGCAAAAACCTTACAAATTGCCAGTCTTTTTCCTGTTCGTTTAAAGCTGGATGGGATCTCGATGCTCCGCCGTGACACAAAAAACTCAGAGCGCGGGGGGTGAATAAGTGCTTGGCAAATGTAAACAGCAAGAAGAAGACTGCTAATACATTAAGTGGTACAGACAGTAGTCATCTAGTCAAAAAACTGCTCACACATGGTTTGGAGAGAAAGAATGTTTACACTGACTGACGAAAAGGAGGGTCGTGTGGATGTAAGTGTCTGCATGTGTCGGATATGTTCGGAGGAGATGGCGATGGTGATGGTGGGGGGGTCTGGAGGGGACCACATAGACTCCCCTTTGTATTTCCACAGAGCAAATCTTCAGTTTCAGGTGAGGTAGAGAGGCTTGTCCCTGCCTATCATGCTGCCACTGCAAAGACAAAAGACACAGATTAGATTCCCAAAGATAGAGTGTGCTACGTTCAAAGGCCAGGAGGCTATCTGACCAAGAGACCCACCCCGAGCTTTTTATTAGTGACATGTTAGTCCCATATGAACCAGCCCGGACTCTGAGGAGCACAGGGACTGGAGGGACTGGACTCTTGTTAGTGCCCAGAGTCAGAACTAAACATGGGGAGGCTGCTTTTCAGATTCATGCTGCTAAAATCTGGAACAGTCTTCCTGAAGATGTGAGACAGGCCTCCTCTCTGACAATGTTTAAAACCAGGTTAAAGACAGTTCTGTTTAGCTGTGCATACAACTGAGGGATTTTATATTTGTATCTTTCTTTTTAATGTTCTGTGATTATTTATGATTTTAATGCTTTCTTGTTTTGTTCAGCACTTTGATTTGCCTTGTGTATGAATTGTGCTATATAAATAAACTTGCCTTGCCTTGCCTTGCCTTGAAGAGAACAACCGAAAAGAGGAGGTTGGTAATGTTCTGTCAGCGGTCGGATATTTGTGACGCTGATTTGTGCCTGTGTGATATCATAGTGACTGTAAAGGAAATGACAACTAAGGGCCAAACAGTAGTGAAAATAGTCAAATCACAGTAGATCCTGAAGGCGGCAGCGCGAACCGTAGAAGCAGCACTGTGTTCAACATGCATGAAGCCAAATCAATTCCATTTGATTGATCCAAACCAGGGGTGTCCAAACTTTTTTTTACTAGGAGGGCCACTGTGCATCACCAGACTTGTCCAGGAGCTGATAACATGGATTGTAAAAATGGGCTGTTCAGGGCTTTAAAATGGGATCTGATTTGTGTATTTCTGCCATATACAGGTTTTTGTGACACAATCCAAAACACTTTAGTTTAGCCCTCACTAATTAACAGCCAATAACGTGCTAATATGTGTAAAGTTATTTAGCTCTTCATTGGTATTTAGCAAGTACTTCTACATGGCCTTGTTCAACATCTACCTAACTACTATCTGACCCTATAACAGGTGGGTTTGGGTTAGGCATAAGGATAGAGTTAGGGCTAGGATACACTAATTAGCACTTAGTTAGCTGTTAATATTTGAGCGCTAATCTAAAGTGTTACCCAAATGTCAGTATTTACAAAAAAGTTGACGATGAGTTTTACATGGAGGTACAGCATGACTATGTTGGTGGAGGTAAAGTTGGCTGGATGACACTGTAAAAGAACCTCAATGACTACTTTGTGCTAGCACGGCAGAGGACCACATACAATGGAAAAGCCGGCCGCCGTTGGCCCATGGGCCTTGGTTTGGACCTGCCTGATCCAGACGTCCTTTTGAATGAAAACAGGATATGGAGAGAGACGTCAAGGCAGACAATGGAGGTGAAGACATCGATTTGGTCGCAGATATATACCCAGAATCAGAATCAGAATCAGAATCATTTTTATTGCCACGTAAGTAACAGGAGGTCACAGACTAGGAAATTTCTTTGGCTCAGTGCAACAGTCAAAAAGAGATAATAAAAATAAGAATAAAAAACACTTCTAAAGAATACATTTAAATTTAAAATAGAGTTACAGTTACTATTTACAATATAAAAGTGCACATGGTGCACACAATGTAAGGTGACAGCAGTACAGTGAAGTAAAGTGACGTATGATGGGCAGTAAAGTGACTTTATAAAGGGCGGGGGGACAGGTTAAGAAGTGTTCAAGAGTCCAACAGCAGAGGGGAAGAAACTGTTCTTGTGGCGGGAGGTTCTAGTCCTGATGGACCGCAACCTCCTGCCTGAGGGGAGTGGTTGGAATAGTCCATGTGCAGGGTGAGAGGGGTCGGCTGTGATACGACCAGCCCGGCCTCGAGCTCGGGCGACGTACAGGTCCTGCAGCGATGGAAGGCTGCGGCCGATCACTTCCTCTGCAGAGCGCACAATGCGCTGTAGTCTGTTTGTCCCTGACTGTGGCTCCAGCGAACCACACGGTGACGGAGGAGGTGAGGATGGACTCGATGATGGCCGTGTAGAACTGCACCAACATCTGTGCAGGCAGCTTGGCTTTCCTGAGCTGCCGCAGGAAGTACATCCTCTGCTGGGCCTTCTTGATGAGGGAGCTGATGGTCGGCTCCCACTTGAGGTCCTGGGTGATGGTGGTGCCCAGGAAACGGAAGGACTCCACAGAGGTGATGGGGGAGTCCATCACGGAGGGTGGGGGTGGGGGGACAGTGCTCTTCCTGAAGTCCACAATCATCTCCACTGTCTTCTGGGCGTTCAGCTCCAGGTTGTTACCACTGCACCAGGACACCAGCCGGTCCACCTCCCTCCTGTAGCCGGACTCATCGTTGTTGGAGATGAGTCCAATGAGGGTGGTGTCGTCCGCGAACTTGATCAGCTTCACGGAGTCGTGGCTGGAGGTGCAGTGGTTGGTGTACAGGGAGAAGAGCAGGGGAGAAAGAACACAGCCCTGTAGGGCTCCTGTATTTATAATCCGAGAGTCCGAGACATTCTTCCCCAGACGCACTCGCTGCTTCCTGTCCGTCAGGAAGTCAGTGATCCACCTGCAGGTGGAATCGGGCACGTTGAGCTGGGAGAGCTTGTCCTGGAGCAGGGATGGCAGGATTGTGTTGAAGGCAGAGCTGAAGTCCACGAACAGGACCCTGGACCAAATGAGATGGTGTCTTTACACTCTGTGGGTCAAACCTTAGAAGCCTCTGAAGGTTTTCTCTGTGTTCTTATGCTTTGAAAACTTTCTCTTTGAGTGGGTTAACAATAACACAGTGTAGAAAAAGACCAGAGTTTCACAGAGGTCAAATGGTTTTATACCGAGGCAATAATCGGAAGTTCCTCTCAGAATTTGCGACGTCACCGGTAGATAATCTGAGCGTTGAAGCAAACTTAACAAACATCAAGTGGAAAAGTACGGACTTCTCAGTTTAACAAAACAAAGAAAGATCTATAATGCTCCAAACAACACTTTTGGACATCCCTGTATGTTCCATCTACGGCAAATGATACAGAATCTGCATGTCTGCGAGCAACAAAGCTAGACAATTTAGCCAGCGACAATCCATCCTGGAACCTTGTGGCACTTGAGATGCTACGCTGACATGCTAACGGAGCTTGTTATTCCATTCAAATGGACAGTTTGTGCTTAACTTGGAGACACTGCACAATTCTGTATCTGTGAGAGAGCTTCAGCAGCAGCGACAGCCTGCCACTGCGTTCAGAACGGAGCAGATAAAAGTTGTGTTCTGAACATTTGTTTTCCTCTCAGGCTGACAATCACAGAAGAACCTGTATTATCTCACGGTTACCTCTGCAGCGGCCTGCCCCTCATAGACCCAGCTGACAGTCTGCACACTGCCATTGTGAACGGTGTGAAAAATATGATAATTACTTTTCTAACAGATGTTTATGGACTTTTTTCCGTTTAGTGAAAAGATGAAAAGATGCATTCATCAAGGCCCTATGTTTAGAACTTACTGAAAGGGAACAGAAGAGCACACTTCCTGAAGTTCAGTGTGATATCTGGCTTGTTAGATCTTACCTGCAGTGGTTGCCACACTCTCGATTGCAGTATTCACTGTCCCAGTCGTGACTCGGGGCGATACCCCCTGGACCTGAGCCAGGAGCCCCTGGAGACTGGGAACCCCCGATACTCTTCTGATACTCGGACTGCAGGTGAGAGTAACCCTGATGATGAAGACAACATGTGGTTAGGCTTTTCTTCAAATGTGCAAATGAACGTTGTTTACTTTAGAATGTTCTGGAAACTGCAGCAAGTCCTGAGTGTCTCTGAAACTGTTGTTGTTTTGTGCTAAACAATTTTTCTACCTGAGATGTTGCTGCAGTACAGTGTTCATGGTTTTACACTGGTCCAGACCAGAGCAGAGAGGATTCATGGTCCGAACCAAGTGGATCAGGCACAAATCCACTGGAGAAAAGCTAACTTTTAGAATTTTTTTACTTTGGACCCAAAAATTGGGTAAAAAAATTACCCAATTTTTTTACTTTGGACCAAATAAATGGGTAATTCATTTTTTACTTGAATAAATTACCCATTTATTGTTTTATTTTTAAGTTCAGTGTTTACAAAAGATGAATGCCTCTTGGTTACAAATGTGTGCGGCCAGTAGCATGTGTCCTACCTGCTGTCCAGGAGGCGGGGAGTGGAGCGAGGCCTGCAGCCCCATCTGGTGGGAGATGATTGGCTGGGACTGGACCTGCTGCATGCGGATTGGCTGGTTGAGCAGCGAGCTCTGGTGCAGGGAGAGCTGCTGGTGTGGGTGCAGAGGCGGGCTGATCTGGAAGGAGGAGGGAGGAGAGGCACTAATGCTGGGCAGCATCTGTGATTGGCTGAGCGTCTGCGACAGGGCGTGGCGAGGGGCGTGGCCTGTGTAGCTCTGCAGGTCGCTCAGAGGAAAGGCCCCGGGGCCCAAGTACGGGGACGACGGCTGGGGGGGCACGCTGTACAGGGGCGGGTTGGCTGGCATCATGTGAGGGGACGCCTGGCTCGTCTGTACGCACTTGCCCTCTGCCGGGTCGCTGTAAGACTGCACAGAAATGTCATGTTAGAATCATTGTTAGAAAAACTTTGAATAAACATATTATACTTTTGAAGGATTGACGTTTTATTCATTCAAAAATAAGATTATAACTAGAGCAGTTTCTGGACTTTTGGAGGCCCTCAGCCAAAGAGGAAACAAACACCTGCTCCCACTGATGTCTGCTGCTGTTGTGTCCCTGGGCAAGACACTTTACCCCACTTTCCCTGAAGCCCCCGCCGAAGCACCAAGGCCGTGTGTCAGAAATGGACTAATAAAGGGGATGAAAATGAATGACTGAACATAAATGGAAATAACGTTTTGAAATGACGGTAGTATTTAGTAAAGCCGTCTCCTCAGAGGCCCCTCCCAGATTGAGGTCCTCTGCATTTGCTGAGTATGACCCCCGCTGTGTTGACTCGGACCATAACTGCAAACTTTTAGACTCTTAAAAGTCATTTATTTGGATCTCTTAATCCAGACTTGTCCAAACTCAGGCCCGGGGACCAAGTGCGGCCCTCAGTGTCATTCTATGTGGCCCTCTGCCTTGCTAACCCAAATTAGTCTTTGAGATCATAAACACAAGTCGACTGTGTCATCCATCCAACTTCAGCTCAGCCAGTATAGACCTTGTTCTAAAGCCCAGTACGTCTGGAATGTAGTCGTTGATGTTATTGTACAAACTGCACTGAGGTGGTTTTTAATTGTGTCACAAACTTCTGTGGATGTTACTGAAGCTGGTGAGGTGGTAAACATGTCATTCAGCCAACTTCAGCTCTGTTATAGATCATTTTAAAGCTCAGAACAGCCCGATACCAGTTAAGACAGTTTTTCAGTCTGGACCAGTCTGGTGAACTAAAGTGGCCCTCTTGCTAAAATGTTTGGACACCCCTGTCTTAACATTAATTGATTTATAATTAATTTCAGTGACATACCATTCCAATCGCACACGTTTCCTAAAGTACTACTAGAAAGTACAAGCTGGAAAGTGATTATGCTGCATTCCTCACACTTTCTGGATCAAGATATAAATTATTCATGTGACTGGATTATGGAAGTATTATAAAAATTAAAAACAATTCTGCAGTGGAGGTAAATGGAGAACGTTCCAAACAGTGTTTAAAAACCCAACAGTAACACAGCCACATGAAGGGAAACATTATCTTTTTTTAATGAGAACATTTTGCTCAATGTGAAAATATAATAGCCTACTGTCATTGAACGCTGCATTTACATTCTAAATCCAGCCTCTAATTACAGAGCATTCAGTAGTGCTGTGTGTACTGAGCACGATCACTGCTCTCTTCTCCCTCTTTTTTATTTTAAACAAACTGTTCAGACAGAAAATCTACAAAACTCCCACACACTGAACAACACTCTAGTTGTCTCTCTTTTTACCTAAATGTATATTGTGTTTTTCTACAGGTGTTTGTTCTAATTGATCAGACAAAAAATGTTTTGTAATAGTCCATTTCAAATATTGTGAAGCAAATTATTTAAAGGAGCTGTATGTAAAAATGTGGACAAAAGTGGTACTGCAGCCTCTCCCACTCTCCCTGACTCAGGTTGCCTGCGTTTCATTGGGGTGGCCTGCAGGGGGCGCATATCTTGGAAAGCCTTGATCCACCTCGCCCGCCTCATTCCAGTGATTTTTTTCAAAGTGTCCTTCTTTATATGAGCCCACAGTTGGAACATGAACAAACTCTGGTCTTTCTCTCTATTTGTGCGGTTGCTACAAACACCGCACAAAAAGATGGCGTTTTGACAGCGCTTCTTCTTCTACTATATCTCCGTGTATAAACCACTTCTTCTTCTACTATATCTCCGTGTATAAACCCCAGAATACTTTACAGAATACATTATAGGTCATGTACTCAGTATTCTCCTAGACACTGAAATAACCAAAGTTAAAGCAGCAGTAATAACATTCACGATGATGATCCATGTTCACACTTTGGTTCAGATGTATTTGTTTTTATGGTTATAACTTCTTCCTCCTCTCGCACCACACAAAGACAACAGGTGCACGCTCAAGATGTGAAATCTCTAAATGAAGCTCCAATTACATCCAATTCTCCGTGCACCGCTCTGAAAAGCCTGCTTGGATGGTAGTTCGGGAAAAAAGAGACAGAGCCGAGACGCGATTGGCTGCGGAGTGAACGAGGGGGGATGGTCATGGGGTACAGGCTGTTTTTGAGTCTCCCAAACATATATGGTTATCAATCAGGGCTTTGTATAGGAGCTCCGACATGAATGTGTAATTGCAGCGCAGACAGGAGATGAGAATAGTGTTTAGCTGAAAGTGCGCCCCGTGTGAAGAGCCTGAGCAATTATCTATTCACGCTTTAATCAAGGTGCTTGTTTTTCGGGCAGTAAGTGGGGCGGAAGTGTGGAGCAGAGGAGCGGACGGGAGGAGCCATGTACGCTGATGGCTTTCAACTGGGGATCGATTGTGTAATATTAATGTTTGAACACGTTAAATTTAATGTTGGGGGAAAACGGCCTCAGCATTAGCCTGGTCTTTACCATAAAATCATACTTATTTAATTTAGTACTAAGGTCTTGATTTTCTCCATTGACTCCGTTAACAGGTGGGAGGGGTTAACTCCTTTTGCAGATTGAAACGATTGGATCTGAGTTTACCGTGACGTATGTAATGTGCCTGAGTGAGTGAGGCATTTAGCATTTAGCCTAGCTTTAGCATGTAGCCTAGCTTTAGCCATATCCTTTGCCACTAACAGAACCTGTGGGGAGTTGAGCCACAACATCTTTGCAGCAATGACATTTGTTAAACATTTCTCTTGCTCCGGAAAACTTTTGACATCACCGACACCGACCTACAACACCCGCCTACCCCGCCCTCTGATTGGTCGGAGGGGATTCAACCGAGGAAACCGCAGCCACTAGGATCAGACCCAGACGTACATGTAGGAAATGATCATGGACCAGAATTTACAGATGGCTGAGGACAGGATAGCTCCGACCTTTTCACTAAATAACTACGTATATTCCAAGTTATAATTCGGTTAATGACAGTACAATATGTGGTTTATGTACATGCATGTATTCTGTCCTGTAGGCCCCACATGCAGAGGGTTCCCATGGGGGCAAGAGGGAGTGAGGACTGGGAAGCGGTCAGAGACTACTTTGATTCTGTCTAGTCTGGGTTGACTAAAGTTTACTAAATGCAATCCCATCATTGCTAGGGGAAAAAAAAAACATGTTTCTGACATTTTAAACATTGATTCAGGAAGATTTTGTCTCATAATTACACTTTCAATTAAAAAAATATATATCAAAGACCTTATGCCGGGTTTAAAAAAAAAAAAAATGGATATCAAAATTGCATGACAATGTCAATCTGAAAGAGATTCCGGCAAAAAAAATCCTATATTTTATAAAAAGAACGTGTTTTTCATGAATTTAAGTTGTCTATGCTCTAACCTGTGTGTGACGTCACAGCGGGTAACGCCCATGCATTGAAAACCATGGATCTATGCCACAGGACTGCCTTTTCTCTCTTCTCTCCACTGGTGCCCAACACAATACTGCCCTCTACAGGTGACAATTGCTCACTACACATAAATTGCCGTTTTGAGTGTGAAAAAGTGTCTGAGATGGGATTTGAACCCCAGTATCTGGATTGTCAGCGCATCGACACAACCAATGGACTATCTCAATGACAACGAACTGTTACAATCTAGTAGTTATGTCAGACTCGCTGTACACGGCCTTGTCATCTTGAATATCCGCGAAAAAAGAACGAATACCAAATTGTAAACAACTTACAGCGTTGAAACGTACCCACTCTGACGTCACCAAGGGCTGTCAAGTTTTTCCGTCTCTAAGGGCGTTGCTATGGGGTTATTTCGATTTGGGGGGATCAGACAAAAAAAACAACAACTGATTTTGAAACCTTTAGTAGTTCTCTTCTAATATAAAATGGTATTAAAACTGTATTTCTAAATAAATCAAACCCGGCATAAGGTCTTTAAATTAGATGAGCCATGTTTACTTTACTTTACTAATTACTTTTAATATGTCTGTTGCCCTTGTCCGACCAGAAAGTCACGTTATAAATATGAACAAACTATAAAACAACGCGGGAAGTACGTTTTTGTGAGTCAAATTAATTGTGGAATCTGCTAGAACCTGTTTAGAGGAATAAGACAATAGCAAATACATATTAGAGAATTAGCAACAATCCCTCAAGAAATATTCCAGAATCACATTTTTTTCCCCTAATCATGTTTTTTGTAAATTTCACGCAAAAAAAGAAACTTGAGGAAACTAGACCAGATGAAAAGACAGCATTGGAACATAATAATGCATGATTTTGTCAAAAAATAAACTTTGTTATCACAAATATTTCACGTAGAAATCTTAAGTCAGGAGAATTCCACTTAGAGCCACTTTATCTACCTTTTCTAATGACACACACACACACACACACAGAAGAATCAAAATGGACGCCGATAAACTTTAGATTAATCCTCAATATCCTTTCCAGACAAACAAAAAGCTTGTTTGTTCATACATTTGGAAAGCAGCTTGTCGCCCACACAGCACACAGACAAACATTACGTCTCCCCAGGTCTCAAATCAGGTGTGTCCAAGACCTAATTCCAACTGTTCTCCGCTCGGCACACACCCGCCTCCACCAGAGCTCAGCCCCTTTGGCTTGAGAGGGAGAGGAGGGGAGGGGGCGGGGGAGAGGGGGGAGGCTTCTCTGTCTAATTTATCATGCCTTATATCAGCACTGACCCATGTATATCAAAGAAGTGACCCCCCGCCGTTACCTTGGAAACCAGACTGGCTCTGTAGGCGGCCAGGGCTTTCAGGTACTCCTTCTTAGCCGCCTCTGTTTTCCTCTTGTAGTTCTGTGAGGGGAGAAAACAAAACAACTGTAACAACTCCTTTGATATCAATGAAGGAGGGCTAGGACTGTGCGTGTGCAGATTGTCTACGGAGAGATACAAGAAGGAGAAACAGGTGTAAAGGTAAACAAGGCAAGGAAGATGGGCAGAGTTAAGGCCGGTAATAATAATAGTAATAATAATAATAATAATAATAATGCATTGGTTTTATACAGTGCTTTTTAGGACACTCAAACACGTTTCATATGTCATTATTCTTTCACTCCAAACACGGTGGTGATAAACTACTACTTTAGCCACAACTGCCCTGGCCACCAACCATTCACACACACACCAGAGTCATTCTAATGTGGGTGAAGTGTCTTGCCTAAGGACACAACCACAGTTTGGCACTTTACAGCCGCATCCGCCCCGCTGTGGCACCTGCTGTTCCCAGAGGTCTCCCATCACAGTACTGACCAGGCCCTGCCCTGCACAGCTTCAGAAGTCTGACAGGATCTGGCTTTCACATTCAGGTATGGCCACTTTATTGCATTAGTTTAGGTAGGTTGCCAGATATGCAGACGGATCCAGCTGGGACCATTACAGCTGAATAGACAAGAGTTTTGTCAACAACAAATCTATAACCAACATCTTTTTCACAAAGATAGAAATCCTGGTTTTATTCCTTGTTTTGTTGTTAATTATTTCACTTTTTTAGTTCTGCGCCACATGGTACTTTACCAGTGAGATTAGCTCGACGTGGTGAGTTCTGGCGCCCGGATCACGGACTTTCTGATTGGTGAAACTGTAAAACAAATTTTAAAGTCCGAATATCTCTGAACTGTTAAAGAAGTATCGGAAAACAGCAGGTTTTATTAATGCCTTTTGACAGATTAGGGCCCTTTAATGATGACAGATTAGGGCCCTTTAATGATGACAGATTAGGGCCCTTTAATGATGACAGACTAGGGCCCTTTAATGATGACAGATTAGGGCCCTTTAATGATGACAGATTAGGGCCCTTTAATGATGACAGATTAGGGCCCTTTAATGATGACAGATTAGGGCCCTTTAATGATGACAGATTAGGGCCCTTTAATGATGACAGATTAGGGCCCTTTAATGATGACTCGACATGAGAATCGTACATATTTCTACTTTAAAGTTGTTATCGGTGTTGTCGGTTATGGGCTTTGCCATTGTATTTTTCCTTGTATCCTCCTTACCTGCAGCTCGGCCTCCATCTGCCCCGGCTCTAAAGGCCCCGACTCTAAAGGCCCCGACTCTAAAGGCCCCGGCTCTAAAGGCCCCTGCTCTAAAGGCCCCGACTCTAAAGGCCCCGGCTCTAAAGGCCCCGACTCTAAAGGCCCCGACTCTAAAGGCCCCGGCTCTAAAGGCCCCGGCTCTAAAGGCCCCTGCTCTAAAGGCCCCGACTCTAAAGGCCCCGACTCTAAAGGCCCCGGCTCTAAAGGCCCCGACTCTAAAGGCCCCGACTCTAAAGGCCCCGACTCTAAAGGCCCCGGCTCTAAAGGCCCCTGCTCTAAAGGCCCCGACTCTAAAGGCCCCTGCTCTAAAGGCCCCTGCTCTAAAGGCCCCGGCTCTAAAGGCCCCGGCTCTAAAGGCCCTGGGCCCAACTGAGGCTGACGTCTGCCTCCAACACTGCAGTTACTTTGCACATTTCTATTTTGGTGATTTAGTGATCCTGAGTTGTGAACGATATATTATTTTTTTCTTATCCACGTCCTTCAACCTTCCTCTTTAACATCAGTCCACACCCGGGTTATAATAACAAACGTTGCGTGCCACCTCCCTGGACTCTCTCTGACACATAACACAGTTTCACAAACACTTTGACACATAGGATTGATTTTAGATTAAGCAGCGTGGCTTCAGAACATCTTTTTCAGAAGGACAAGTGAAGCTGTAGATGAAAAAACAAATCCAAACACAAGACAAAGGTTCTTTAGCTGCAGGATGAATTTCATACAACTTCAAATATTTAAGACAAAAAACATCAGGATTGACACAAAAGTTGTCATTCATGTTAAAAAGTAGATATACTATATATATTTTAACTATATGCTAAAAAGTAGATGTGAAATGATATTGTGTCTTAAAATCCAGTCAACACATTTCCAGGCGGACTTCCTGAATCCTTAATATTCTCTGCTCTGCTCGTCCTCAGTGACTTTGCGGTGATTCAGTTAAAGTTGTTTTTTGCTTCCTACTCTGAATATACGTATTTGTCCACTTGTTTATCTTCTAATCAAAGCCCTTTCTGTGCAAACCACGCAAATTGAAAAATAAAAGCCATGTTTTAGTGCCATTTTCAACCACTCTGAGCAAAGTCAAAACAATGCATTAAGGAATGGAAGTAAAGTTAATGAATGCCCTGAAAAGTCTCTCTTTCTGCCAAACACATAATCAGTCTGTAATTATTATTATATATATATATATATATATATATATATATATAATTGCATTGTTTTGTGCATATATTTGTGTGTGTGTATATACTGTATATATATATATATATATATATATACATACATACACACACATTTTGTTGAATGTAGTTTGTCATGTAAGAATATTTGACTAGTTTTAAGATAATACTGAGCAGTGAGTTTTTAAGCTTGATATAATAAGCTTGTATAAGCTCTATATTTTAAGGAAAACATTTCTCAAAAATATTTCAATAATAAATCAATAAAATTTAAAATGTATGGTTTTAACTAGAATCAAGTTGTTTGGGGCTAGTATTATTTTCTTATGACTTGACAAGATTTGTGTAAATAATTTCTTGTTCTATTTTCATATAGTTTTTCCTTTTTCAAGCAGTAATATATTTATTTTCATTTATGTTTTTCTTATTTATGTATAGGATTTTATACAGACAGTACATAATAACGGGGCTCGCTCATCCCAAAAAAGCATTCAGCGTTCACACACGTCGTCTGGAGCCGCGGACACGTCCAGTGGATAAACAAACAGCACAGACTGAAGCCGTAAACTCAGAAAAGACACAATCTCCTCAAACACACGACGTGGACCGTGGCTCAGTCGTGTTGACAAATCTATCGCCAAAAACAGCACCGTCTGAGTCCCAAAGGATCACTTTCACATGATGCACTGATATAAAGTTACCTTGTGTTTCTGCGTGAATGTTTTGTCTCTTCACGTTTAACCTTTAGATTTGTCCTGTTCACTGAAGTCCAGAAAAAGTGGTAAACAAGAAAAAAATTGAGATTATTTTTCCAGAGTTGTTTTTAGCGGCATACGACCAATCCTTTGACTCTCAAGTGATTCTGAATGTAATTATTGACCAAAAATGAAAAGACACAATTGGAAAAACACAGTGAACACCGATCAGTCGACAATAAATATTTTGTAAGTAAGAAATATTTATTTATAAAGCACCTTTCACAGATCAATTTCTGTGGGCATTTTGTCTCTCCCTCCACAGAGAGTGAGGTCCCCAGTCTATCGTTGCTGGAACAATTGTAAATGTTTTTAGTGGTAGAGGAAACTGGAGCGCCCGGAGGAAACCTACGCAGACACCGGGAGAACATGCAAACTCCACTCAGAAAGAACCTGTTCCAACCGAGATTCGGACCTAGGACCTTTTGCAGAGAGTGCTAACCACTCAGCCACCGTGCCGGCCAAGTTAGATTGATTTGATTAGCTTTGTGTGGCACGGTATTTTTTTCAGCTGTAAATAAATGGCTGAAAATAACAAAATAATATTAGCCCCAAATGAGTTGATTTTTATACAAATATAACATACAAACGTATTTTATCTAAACAAGAAAAAGTTGTCTGGAAAAAAGAACAAATACTTAAAACAAGCTTAAAAACTCACTGCTCAGACTGTTTTCTTTCGTAAGATTATGCAGTTATTATTAATTATTATTATAGATTATATTATAATCTTAAAACTGGTAAAAATAATCTTCCATGACAAATTACTTCAAGCAACAAAAAAACTTGGTATTTAAAAAAAACAAGCATCATTTATGTCTTTTTTAGTGAATAAATCTGACATATTTTTCCCTTTTTTTCAGAGTGTACAATTTCACTGTCGCTGTTACTGAAACATCCACAACTTGTATTACTGATGATTATATTTATAGATTATAGACCTTTGGATTAACCAATGGCAGCAATTAGCACAACAGTCCATAGCTGCTGCTCCTGTGAATGCAATAACACAAAAAACACAATTATTCATCTACATACTTAATACACTCTGTAGTAACACACACACACACACACGCGCACACACACACAGACACACACAGACACACACACACGCACACAGACACACACACACACAAACACACACACACACACACACACACACACACACACACGCACACACACACAGACACACACACACACAGACACACACACACACACACACAGACACACACACACACACACACACACACACACACACACACACACACACACACACACACACACACACACACACACACACAGACACACACACACCTCAAACATTGACAGAGCTCTGACTCTCGCTGTAATGAACTCGATTACACCCAGCAGTTTTTTAATTTGAAATTCATTTAACACGCCTAATGATTTGTACAAACGCTGATACTTCTTAAATAAATGGACGCGCCTCAGGACGGCTAATTACTCCAAAGTGAGTGGATTCATTAAGTCTGCAGGTCAGCGTGGATGAGGAGCGGCGGCGGGGTGGAGAGAGAGCGCCCGTGAGCTGTCCCGCCTGGCTCTCTCTAATTGCACCTAAATGAAATGCTCTTGTTTGATAACCGCTTAATTACAGGAGACAATGGCTCCGCCGCACTCCCCGCTGACAGCGAGCGGAGTGATTAGCCTCGCGACACGGCGGAGGAGAGAGAGCGAGGAGGTTGAAGAGGTGCCGTGAGTTTCAGAGCGTGTTGGTGTCCTGAAGAACTATACATGAATGTCTTATGGGCTTCCCTCACTCTGCATTCTCCAGCTGTCCTCTAGGGGCGCTGTGGGCATTTTCCCCGTTTGGAAATACCTGTATAGATGCAAGAATTGGATAAAATATGAGGTAATATGAGTTTTATTTTTCTTTTAAAGTAGCAATATGTTAGATTTTCAGGTCAAGTCATCATTAAAGGGCCCTAATCTGTCATGTCACTTTACTTATATACTTTTTATCCTGCACTATTTAACTACATATATATTTTTTTACTTGTATTGAAGCATTTTCAGCATATACAGCTAGTTATGTAAGAAAAATAGCTACTACTTATTTGTATATATTGTGTGTGCTCTTACTACTGTCCTATATGTGCGCTGCAACATCGGAATTTCCCCACTGTGGGACGAATAAAGGAATTCTTATCTTATTTCTAAATGACTTTTCCAGCCTCTAAATCTTGTTATTGTTGTCATTTTGATGTCCCGCCCTCCACCGTTTCACCAATAAGAAAGTCTGTGATCCGGGCGCCAGAACTCACCGCGTGGAGCTAATCTCACTGCTAAAGTACCATGTGGCGCAGAACTAAAAAAGGTCTCGTTATGATTCTCAAATCATTAACGACAAAACAAAGAATAAAACCAGGATTTCTATCTTTGTGAAAAAGGTGTTGGTTATAGATTTGTTGTTGACAAAACTCTTGTCTATTCAGCTGTTATGGTCCCAGCTGGATTCGTCTGCATATCTGGCAACCTGAGTCAGGGAGAGTGGGAGAGGCTGCAGTACCACCTTTGGCCACATGTGTACATACTGCTCTTTTAATGTTTTAAAATGTTTGTAAATGTGTATGATTTTATGTTTGTGTGAAGCACTTTGGGTTTCTCTGCATGATTTGTGCTTTATAAATACACTTGATTGATTGATTGATAATAATTTCTTGAATTGAATCCTTTTAATTAAGATTTGGGACAAAGATATTTATTGCTATTTAAAGAACTGAGGCTTTATTTTCTTATTCCATGAAAGACATTTCTTGTATTTTTACCGTTATTTTATCTATAGTATTTTTTAGTTGCGGTTTGAAACAATATGTACCCATAATGCCACACGTTCACATTCCTCTCCTCCATTCTAGCCACTTCTTTTGTCTTTCAAAGCTGCCGCGAATCGTATCTTGGAAAACGGACGCTAATCTTAAGTGCTAAATCAAGACAAATGTTACTTCAGTGTTTCTGGGGCGGCGTTAACGTGTAGTCACCTTGAGGGAGAACAGCTCAAACACATGGATCTCACACACCATAAAACACTGGTCTGTGGGGAGTGGAGAGAGGAGCATCTTAATAGCACAATACAAACATGAAGAGGCTAAAAAAAGAAACGCACACTTTGTTCTGACATGAGTGATAAAAACAGCTAATGCAATATTTGTACCGACGAGATACAGAAGGTGGAGGCAATACATTACATTACCATAATTTATTTTACTTGATTAACGATGGCGATGATGAGGGTTTCTCTCAAGTTTCTTTATGGAGTCTATTTTAATAACAACGTGAAACTGAGTAATGTTCACAGCTGTGGTCAAGAGGAATGTACTGTATGTATATAATGCTTTAATAATACTAATAATTATAATGCATCTGTTTTATATAGTGCTTTTTTGGACACTCAAAGACATGTCATTATTCATTCACTCCATAAACGCTGGTGATCAACTGATCTACTACTGTAGCCATAGCTGCCCTGAGGCACACTGACAGAAGCGAGGCAACCAGTCTGTGCTATCGGCCCTCAGAACACAACACAACCATTCACACCAAAAGGTTCCCAGAGGTTTAGTGTCTTGCCCATGAACAGCCACGACAGCAGACATCAGTGGGAGTCGGTGGAGAAAGTCTTGTGGCGGGCTCGAACCCAAGACCTACAGGTTCAAAGGCTAACGCTCTACCAACTGAGCCATTGTAGCCCCATGTAAATGTGCGAGGACGCTCAAGAGACAGGTAAACATAAGATAAGAGAGATCCTTTTTTTGTCCCACAGTAGAAATGTTGATACCGGACAGTAGTAAGTGACACAAGGAGCACACAGATTATACAATAAGTATATTCTAAGTATAATAGAATCTAGAAAATCCCATTGCCGGATTTACTTACTAAATTATTATAGTATTTAAAGAATAATATTGCAAATTATGGTTGAAAATGTGTATTTGGTCACCTACAAACAAGCTGGATTTGTGGCTCTCAGAGACTGTAGCTCCTTCTTTAAGAGGCGCCTCTGTCCTCCGCTCGTTCCCTGTGTTAATGCCTCTTGTTTGAACTGAGAGCCTGAAAGACACCTGTCCACAGCCTCAAACAGTCACACTCCAAACTCCACTATGGCCAAGACCAAAGGGCTGTCAAAGGACACCAGAAACAACATTGTAGACCTGCACCAGGCTGGGAAGACTGCATCAGAAATAGGTGAGCAGCTTGGTGTGAAGAAATCAACTGTAGGAGCAATTATTAAGAAAATAGAAGACGTACAAGACCACTGATAATCTCCCTCCATCTGGGGCCCCACGCATGATCTCACCGCAGGGGGTCAAAATGATCACAAATCCCAGAACCACAAGGGGGACTGAGTGCATGACAGTAACACACTACACCACCAGAGAGTGTCAGATGTGTCCCTTCTTAAGCCAGTCCCAAGTTTGCTACAGAGCATTTGGATGATCCAGAAGAGGATTGGGAGAATGTCATATGGTCAGATGAAACCAAAATAGGAACCGTTTGGTAAAAACTCAAAAAAGTTTGGGGGAGAAAAAATGTTGAGTCGCATCCAAAGAACGCCGTACCTACTGTGAAGCATGGGGGTGGAAACATCACGGGCCGTTTTTTCTGCCAAGGGACCAGGACGACTGATCCGTGTAAAGGAAAGAATGAATGGGGAAATCTCTCCTGAGATTTTGAATGAAAACCTCATTCCTTTAAGTATGACAATGAACCCAACCACACAGGCAACGTAGAAGCATTTCAAGGTCAAGGAGTCTCCACAGATCTGGATGGAGGAATGGGCCAAAATACCAGCAACAGCGTGTGGAAAACCTTGCCGCCCGGAACTAAACATGGCTAGTTTGTGATTTCCTGTTACTTACATGAAAAATGATTCTGATCTGATCCTGATCCTTTACACTGGTCCAGACCAGAGCAGAGAGGATTCATGGTTTTACACTGGTCCAGACCAGAGCAGAGAGGATTCATGGTTTTACACTGGTCCAGACCAGAGCAGAGAGGATTCATGGTTTTACACTGGTCCAGACCAGAGCAGAGAGGATTCATGGTTTTACACTGGTCCAGACCAGAGCAGAGAGGATTCATGGTCCGAACCAAGTGGATCAGATGAAAATCCACTGGAGGAATGCAAAATGTTTGAAAAATGCTAATGAACCATTCAACATTTTACTTTGGACCAGAGCAGGTCCGAGCCAAGCGGCTGCTCCACCTTGTGACCCGTCCTGCTCCACCCAGAGGCTACTCCACCTGCGGCTGTTGCTGATTATTACTATTGTTAGCGTTTTAGAAAGATCAATTTTATGTTTTTTTGTTTTTTTGCTGCTACTGGACACCTGAATTTCTCCTACAAGGATCAGTAAAGTATCTATCAATCTGATTCTAATTCTGATCCGATTCTGATTCTGATCCTCTCTATATACAGTATCTGTAACTTCTTGGGTGTAATACAGAGGCAGATTGGACTTGTTTATTGAGCTGCTCTGTGATAATAAATGAACAAATCACATGTTATTGAGCGCTACATCATCCCATCCAGCATCATTAGCCCATTTAATTAGCAATCTTCAGAGGTGACAAGTCTGATTAAACACGCCGCCAGCACAAGCAAAAACAAAAATTACCAGCGTGAGTTCTCGGTAAATAAATGTCAACAACGCGGTAGTTAGCCTCGCAGCAGGTAACGGCGCGAAGGACAAACTCAGTCAGAAAACACAAAAAGAATCGGGGAAAAACAAAGGGTTACAACGACACAAACAATAACATTTCAGCAGCAGATGTCCTTGAGGCTGAACCAAGGACAACGCAGCAATTGCTAATCTTGTATTCCCGGCATGATCAAATCACCGGGCGACACGTATAAATAAAAGGACAGGAAATGAGGAATCCACATTCAAAGGTGTCAGTGACCAAATGAAGATTCATGGTGAAGAGCCACTGCTGAAGACGGGAAGAATTAACCGCAAATAAAAGGCTGCGAAGGGCTGCAAAGTCGGATGAATGAAGGCGGTTTGGTGGAGCGGGGGCACATATGGACACACACATGCAGAGGGACACACACAGACACACACACACACATGCAGAGGGACACACACAGACACACACACATGCAGAGAGACACACACAGAGACACACACATGCAGAGAGACACACACACATGCAGAGAGACACACAGACACACACATGCAGACACAGAGAGACACACAGAGAGACACCCATGCAGAGAGACACACAGAGACACACACATGCAGAGAGACACACAGAGACACACACATACAGAGAGACACACAGAGACACACACATGCAGAGAGACACACAGACGCACACACATGCAGAGAGACACACAGAGACACACACATGCAGAGAGACACACACAGACACACACATGCACACACAGAGAGACACACAGAGAGACATACAGAGACACACACACACAGAGACACATACAGAGCGACACATACACAAAGGCATACACACAAACAGAGACACAGAGAGACACACATGCGCACACAGAGACACATACACATACACAAAGGCACACACACACACATGCACACACAGAGAGGCACATACACAAAGGCATACACACAAACAGAGACACATACACGTACACAAAGGCATACACACACAGAGAGACACATACACGTACACAAAGGCATACACACAAACAGAGACACATACACAAAGGCATACACACACAGAGAGACACATACACGTACACAAAGGCATACACACAAACGGAGACACATAGAGACACACACATGCACACACAGAGAGACACATACACAGTGACATGCATAGAGACAGAGGCACATAAACACACACATATAGCGACACACACAGAGATACACACACATATAAAGACACACATACATGCACATACACAGAGGCATGCACACACACAGATATATGCATAGAGACACACAGAGACAGAGGCACATAAACACACACATACACAGACATGCGCAGTGTCACGTACACGTACAGACACACACACACACACACTGGCAGACACACACACACACACAGAGACACACACACACACACACACACACACACACACACACACAGAGACACACACACACACACACACAGGCAGACACACACACACACAGAGACACACACACACACACACACACACAGAGACACACACACTCACACACAGACAGAGACACACACACACACACACACTCATACACACACAGATACACACACAGGCACACCCACTTACACACACACACACACACACACACATACACGTTTTTGTTACCTGGTGGGTCCCTTTGACAGGGCCGTTCAGAATGGGACCCATAGACATAATCTTTTTTTACCAAGACTTTAAGTAATACAAAACAGTCAATAGAAACCAAACAACTATTTTAAAGGAATTTTATTTTAGATTTTGTTTTCGAATTGTAGTGATTCTATTTTTGACATAGAATTTAATGCCACTCCATGTCCGATGTCTAAGGTCATCTGGTGAGGCATTAATGCAGGCCAGGCAGTGAGACTTCCCAGGGACCTTTCCAGTCTGTATGAAAGGTGTCATGGTCTTCTCCACAGCCTTCACCTCAGATGCAGACCATGGCTTTCTTACACGTTCTAGGGAGAGAAATAAAAATATATTAGCAATATACACTCCCAGGGTGAGGACCAAGCAGCCTGGCTGTAATCCCCCACCTGGTACACTTACCAGAAGGGGCACTGCCACTACCATGGGGTGCATCTGGATGAATGGTTGAAGGTTCTCCGCTTGAAGTTTCTTTTAGCCCGTCCGTTTGTGAGAGGATCTCTACTGCTCTCCCTGTCGCACAGAAAATAAAAATACAAGTGGCCTTTAGGGGAAAAAAATCATACATATTTTAATAATATCAAGAATTACCTTCAGGCTCAATTTGTATCTGGTCGAGGCTCTTTCCTTCGAATTCCGTCACTCTTCCCTGCTCCATGGCCATCAACACTTTGCTGATTTTGGCCAGCTCCAGTGTCCCCTCTGGTAGTCTGTAATATTGCCTGTGGATGCGAATGTCATGGCCGAGGAAGTTGGCAAGTATGTCCATCTCATTCTCTTTCATATTGAGAACTGTAGACATAGTAGCTATGTGCTTTCTAAGTTTGGTTGAGGATAGCATCTCTGGATGCACCGCACCACATTCTTTGGCTACCTGGCGTAGGGAGTCTGATCCCCTGATGTGGGTGTCTGCGCCCGGGCGGGAAAAGAAGTATGGGTTATGGTCAGAGATGGAACAGGCCCTTCTGTTCTCCACCAGCACCTCCATCGAAGCAATCATTTCAGGAGTCAAAAGAACCGGCACTTTCCGACTTCTTTTCCCTTTAATTTCAATGCGTTGAAAATGCTGACACAGCTTTTTCTCAAGTTGGGACAGTCCCAGAGCAATGTCAGAATGGATCCCAGTCTTACTTCTTAAGGTAAAGGCTGTCAGTGGCATCTTTGAAACCTCACCTTCCCTTCTTCGATTGAAAATGATGACCTCACAAAGAGTCAAAACTGCCAGTTTAGACCAATGCTTAGACGTTGGCTCACTTATTAGGGTTTGCACATATTCAGGTCGACATACCTCAATATGTGCATGCATGGCTCTAACGTCCTCAGTCAGAGGGAGCAGGTCCGGAGTGTTCCACTTGGCTTGCCGGAGGGTCTGTAGGGCAGCAGAAGAAACACAGACGTCCCACCTCTTCTCAAAAAGCAGCCGGCTTCGTTGGAGGTTTTTAATAAATAGTTCATCAACACAATGCTCCATTTTTGAGTCACATTCAAGAATATCTGCTAGCTTTCTGAGGCTATGGCCGAGTTTGAGGGCCAAGGATGGAGTCTTGTATTGATTTGTTTCCTCATCATATCCAGCCACAGACCTGACTGCATCAATCACATGGTTAAAGTTGGAAGGAATAAAGAAATCCTTAATTGTTTTCAGTTTCCCTGCGGTTTTTGCTTCGTTAATTAACCTACCGACTTCTCTCATTTTCTGCCTAATGTAATCATGCTTTGTCTTATCATGCCCGTGTTTTAAGTACAGGTGCTCTCCGAGTCTCAGAATCCCCTTTTCTGCTTTGACAACACCCGTGACCTCATCCTGATGCATTGCCGAAATTAAAGACCACAGCTTTTTGCTGATGCCCTCCGGTACAGGCTGGGCTAGGGAGCAGAGGGACTGGACCCTACTTCTACCTGGTTTTTAGCCTGGGCATCTTTCTGTGAAAGCCGGCACCTGGCCACATGCCTCCACAGCGACTTTCGCTTAAGCAATGCCCCACAGTCTATACAGTGCAAAAACTCACTGGATTTAACTGGGGAATTTGGCTGTTTAGCTGGGACTAAAGTTCCAATGCCGGCCTTTAAAACCTCAAAATTGTGCTCACGGTTTCCACTATTCCTGATCAAATCAAACTGAAGTTTACGTGCTTTAGATTTCACAGGTAGAGCCAATGCTCTGGCTACGTCACTTTCATTTCCATGTTTTCTAGTCAAATGACGGGACATTTTGTGGCAGGACATTGAACAGTAGAGGCAGAAGTGTCTCTTGCTGTATACTCGCCCCCCATTTTTCTTCTTTTGCAGCTGCATGATAACAATCTTATTTGCCTTTGGTTCGTCACTTTCCGAGTCTTGAAGAAAAGTGTTTTTGATTTTTCTTTTTCCATACTTTTTTACAGGTTTCTTCTTGACAGTTAAATCGTCAGAATCTGAGTCGACTTCATCAATTAGGGACTCTTGACTAAGCTGCACAAACAACAAATAATTTGTAATCATTCTATATAACAATTTGAAGTCATGACTTGTAGTCAGCACTTACCAGTGGTTTGTAAGCGTGCGCTTCAGTGTGCTCCTCCATGATTTCTTGCAGCCTAATGAACCACACACTTGCACCTTTTTCTAGCCTGACACCTGATTTCCTCTGTTGTGCTGCTCCATGATTGGCTCCAGCCTGCTGGACTGAAATTGCCCCAGTGTGCCCCTCCTTGATATCCCGCAACCCACCACCAGGGTTCCGACACATAACACACTTTTTTCAGGAAAGTAAACCTCCAGGGGTCCTTTCCATATTTTTACAGAGACTGCATAAGGACCGTTAGAAAAGCATTACCCATTGATTATTAAGCTTGGACCAGTGGGGTCCGGTGTTCGGGCCCCACCACGTAAAACCAGTCCCCATGACGTGAGTGGAATCTCAGGTTATGGAACCCACCAGGAGTTGAAAACAAGTGCACACACACAGAGACACACACACACACACAGAGACACACACACACACACACACACACACACACACACACACACACACACACACACACACACACACACATACACACACACAGATGAGATGGCCAGTGCAGAATGGGCAGTAGTTTGTCTTGTGGACAGAGCCTTTTATTTGTCACCGTCTGCATCAGAATCTAAAACATGAGCAGGACACGGTCAGGTCTGTCTCATTCTCATCCATTCACACCGTCATTTATTCCTTAAATGTAAAAAACGTTAGAGACGGAAAGATTGAAATGAGAAATGTGCGTATGTCAGAGTTGTGTAGAGTCAGAGTTGTGTAGATACCGACAGTGATTTTTTTTACCTAATATATTTTATAATGTTTGTAAAGGGTTGTACTCTGGGGTTGCACTGCCTCAACCGTGCTTTATGAACACTGTAAATTCCGAACTATGAGCTGTGGCCTTTTTCCTTCATTTTCAAGGATGCAGCTTTCACTAATGTGTGGCTAATTTATTTATTTACATTCTGTGAAGTTAAAAACATTTTGCCGAGGAACAGTCGACAACAGAAGTGATGAATAGTTCAAAGAGGTCCAATGTAAATGTCGATTTTTATCCAGCAGCAAAAACAAAGTCCTCACTTATAAAATCTCTGTGTAAATATCTCAAATGACGAAGAGTTTCTTTGTATAAACATGAACGAGAAAAGAGACCAGTAGAAACTTTCTGTTTCACAACAGTCACTCACTTCTTACTCTTATTACTCACAGTTTTCAACGTTTTTGAGCTAATTTTTCAATAATTCAACATCTTATCTTATCATACAGTGTTTATCATATAGTGTTTATCATATAGTGTTTATAATCCAGTGCGGCTTGTACAAGTACAAAATAGGGCTGGACGATAAGGCTGTAAACAATATCACAATATAGTAAGTAAATCATATCGGTCGATAACTATACTGTATATATTGGTTGGTTTTTTTCTTTTTTACACCAAAATAAATACATTTGTCGTGTCGGCTAATACATGTTAGCAGCTCTTGTTTACAGTCACAGGGGAATGAGGCTGGAGGCATATGTTCACAAGCACAGTGTCCCCCATAACCATAATAAATCCTGAACAGACTATATTTTTAACCTTCAAACTTCTGTCTTTTGCACAATCTGAGTGATTCTATCTGTGCCAAACGTGACATGTGCATTTCTCCAGTGTGAGATCTATAAAGTCTGTCTTATCTCATCTTAAAAAGGCAGAATGTAGAATCACAAAGCACCTTAAAACATCACATTCATGAGAGTAAAGTGTAAAGAGTTTCTTTGTGGCTGGACCCTGCACCCAGAGCAGAAGACGCATCGATCTGTGTGAAACTCTGTCGGATTATTGACCCTGGATCTATCTGAAAAGTATCAGGATTCTCAGGCCGATGAAAAAATAGAATAATGGACTTTTTAACCATTTGAATATGTTTTCTCCACACCACTGAGAATCACTGCATGTTACAAGAAAAGCAGTCCGTCTGAGAGAAGTTTCACTAATTCTCTGCCCTGTCATATGTCCAGTGTGAAGGGTCTGAGGAGAGACTGGAAAATCAACAACAACAAAACCTGAACCAATAATATCTTGTGTATTTGGAATGTAAAAATGAATAAAAATACAAATATACTTTATTTTGTTTATGGATATGTCACATTTGGCAAAGATAGAGTGACTCAGGGTGTGCAAAAAGATTAAAAGGTTAGTCTATTTTGTCTATTTTAACAGGATAGTCTCTTTTGTGCAAGATATTTCGTGAAGAATACAAAATAAAAACTGATAAGTCCAGGGAAAATACCAACAAGACGAGGATTTTCATGAGCACAGATGCAAAAAACACATCTACAAGAAATAAACAGAGAAAAAGTAGAAAAGAGGGAAGAGCCACAGTGACTGCAGCTGCACAGCGGGGGCCGGCACTGGATCCACGGTTTATTCTATGAAATGATGCATGTTTCTGACCAAGGGACACTTTACCATTATCTACAGCATGTATTTTACGACAATAATACATTCATAATACAATCTTGATTTGGCATAATTAAAGCCAGTAATATTGGCTGGAGGTGAGCAGTTAAACCCCATAGATAGATAGATAGATAGATAGATAGATAGATAGATAGATAGATAGATACAGTAGATAGATGGATAGAGAGATAGATAGATAGATAGAGAGATAGAGAGATAGATAGATAGATACAGTAGATAGATAGATAGAGAGATAGAGAGATAGATAGATAGATAGATAGATAGATAGATAGATAGATACAGTAGATAGATAGATAGATAGATAGAGAGATAGATAGATAGATAGAGAGATAGATAGATAGATAGATACAGTAGATAGATAGATAGAGAGATAGAGAGATAGATAGATAGATAGAGAGATAGAGAGATAGATAGATAGATAGAGAGATAGAGAGATAGATAGATAGATAGATAGAGAGATAGAGAGATAGATAGATAGATAGATACAGTAGATAGATAGATGGATGGATGGATAGATAGATAGATAGATAGATAGATAGATACAGTAGATAGAGAGATAGAGAGATAGAGAGATAGAGTAGATAGATAGATAGATAGATGTAGGTAGTTAGATCTAGAAATTCAGGTGTCCAGCAGCAGAAGACTAATCCAGGTTTGTTGTACAGTCTGACAGCAACAACAGATCTCTTAAAAACGTTCCGTTCGGCAGCACAGTGCTAGGAGCCTGTTGCTACGGTTACTCCTCTGAGCGGCGATAGCATCATGCCCTTTAAAGTGACTAGCGTCCCGAAGCGTACCTGTTTCTGCTCCTCTCCCAGGCCGTCCCACATGGAGGCCACGATCTTGGACACGTCCCCGAAGGTGGCGTTGGGGTTCTGGCCCTTGATGGCGGCCTGCGTGTCTCTGAAGAACAGGGCGTAGGCCGACACTGGCTTGGTGGGCTCGTTTGGATCCTTCTTCTTCTTCTTTTTCTGTGGTTTGGGTTTGGGCTTCAGCATCTCCGACGACGGCCGCTTTTCACCCGTTAACTGCAAAACAAACCGGTTCTGTTCAAGGAAAGATGCAGAGATATTCCAACTTATATTTTCTTACATACTACGGTTGCTTAATACTAATACTAATTGTGCTTGCTGGCTGGGGGTTGGATTCTACAGTATGTCTTTCGGCAAGACATTGTTCATTCATTTGAAGCTATAAAGTGGGCAGAGCGTTTAAATTGAGCTTTTTAGGCTATAAAAAACATCTTCTGGTTCAGTGTTTCCCAACCTTTTTATAGCCGTGACACACCTTTTTTGGTTGAAAACGCTCACAAGGCACCACCTGCTGAATCTGATACAAACATGGAACGTCACAGCCTTTAGTATGAACGCAAACTCATTCTAACCAAAGTAGATATACAGATCTTTTTTATCTTAACACATTTTTTATGACCATTTATATGATATTGGCACATCAAACAACATCCAAATGCACACTATGATGTACCACGCCCGCTAGTTGAAAAACACTGGTCTGGATAGTTGCTAGCAAGGAGCTAGTTAGCCCTCGTAGAATTTTCTCAATGGGAAATAATACTTCTGGAACCTGAAAGCCCCGCCCACTTCACATCTCCATAAATGTATTGCACTGTAGACACACACAGTGGACACAGCTGGAGTTTGCGTCTGTTGGAATCACATCTGCAGCGGATTTTTAGATCTGACAGCTCCCATGATTTTCAAGACAGAGAAAAAGCATTCAAGCAGGCTGTGGCAGGATCATCAAAAACAAAACAAAATCTAGTGAGAATATGTAGATAACAGATTTTGCACTGATTTCAGAAATGCTGCAAACGATTTCCAATAAATATCATCTTGACTCACATTTTTTGAGTTGTTCAGCAAGACATAAATTGTGACTTTGCCGACGGCTTGTGAAGGAAATGTAAAAAAGGCCCGCTGTATCTGCCCTGGCTTTGATGTGCCTCTGAATGAATTGGAGAGAGCAAATGGAATTACTTACTGATAGAAAGATGGTAATCATTTTTATCCACTCACATTGAGAGCCGCAGCCGCAGAGTACGTTCAGGCAGCTGGGTTCTCTCTCTATACTTTCTTATTATGAGCAAACATTCACAGACAGAGTGACAAATATTGTGGCGGTGACGGATTCAATTATACATTCATTGGGCTGATAAAATACATGCGGCGCGTCGGTGACACTGGTCCAGAGGCCGTTTATCACTGCAGATTTACATTTAGTGTGCTAATAAACCCGTGTTCTTTGTGTGTGTGAGTAAATGTATGTAGTGTATAAATACTGACAGACTTTATAAGGTCATACCGAAGCGTTACGGCGGGACAGCAAAGATAGATGGAATCGCTGTTATTGGTTTTATCACGCAAAGATGTTAATCAATATTATTTACAGCTCTCTCCACTAAACTGCAAATCTCATTGGTCCATATTTCAGCGAATGCTTTGATACGAATCCCTCTAGGACTGAGCCATCGTCTCATCTTCAAATGTTACATTCTGTGTTTGTTTTCATGCTGTTTGGATAACTATCGATGGATAAAGGCTCTGGCTCTGATCTGGCATGTTTATATTCATGTTTATATTCATGTTTTTATCATTAACATGCACTGTACCGAGCAAATGAATAACATACATTATACAATGCATAGGGTACAGGTTTAGCAATAATGATAAAAACAGTGGGAAAGAGCAAAGCTATCTTTTTATATTCATAGGTCTCTCTCTCTATGTTTTTAAATGTTCAATATATATTAAAGTAGATTAGATACAGCCGCTGCAACTCTGCAAGCCTCCACAAGGGGAAATGACACTGGGAGAACATGCAAACTCTAATGAACCCAGGACTTACAGGACAACAACCCCAATAAACCATCCAAAAATGTTTGGAGCACTCTAAAAAAACACTTTCAGAAAAGAATGAGGAGAACAATCATCAACATGGCGTACAGTCATGTCAAACACCTCAGGACGCTGTGGTTTTAAACCTCAGGCCCAGAAAACAAACATCCGTGCGAGGCTGCCCGGCCGTACCTTGACGTGAGGATCTGTCTCCTCTTCCTGATTGGAGCTGGAGGGAGAGGGCGTGGCCGATTTGCTCCCTGGAGAAGAGGGAGAGCCCAGCTGAGGCTTTGGCCGGGCCTGGCCCATGTGTGGGGGCAGTATGGGGCCGGAGCGGTTTAGCATGAGGTGTCTACGCTCATAATGGGCCTCTGGGTGCTGCTGGTGCAGAGCCATCTCCTGCATCTGCGTAAGAAAAGAACAGCAGCTTTACCACCAGCGCCACACTCACACACATCTCACCTGCAGGGGGCGCTGGAGCCGCACGGGGCGCCGGAGCCACAGGGGCCTCGGTGATGTCATCGCAACATTTAGACAGTGGGAGGTCTCAGTGATTTTTTTATTCAATCTGGAGAAGTAGATTTACATGGAATTCTTCTCATTGTGTACATGGAATACTGTGTACATGGAATACTGTGTACATGGAATACTGCGTACATGGAATACTGTGTACATGGAAAACTGTGTACATGGAATACTGTGTACATGGAATACTGTGTACATGGAATACTAATACTGTGTACATGGACTACTGTGTACATGGAATACTGTGTACGTGGAAAACTGTGTACGTGGAAAACTGTGTACGTGGAAAACTGTGTACGTGGAATACTGTGTACATGGAAAACTGTGTACGTGGAAAACTGTGTACATGGAATACTGTGTACATGGAATACTGTGTACATGGAATACTGTGTACATGGAATACTGTGTACATGGAATACTGTGTACATGGACAACTGTGTACGTGGAAAACTGTGTACATGGAATACTGTGTACATGGAATACTGTGTACATGGAATACTGTGTACATGGAAAACTGTACGTGGAAAACTGTGTACGTGGAAAACTGTGTACATGGAATACTGTGTACATGGAATACTGTGTATATGGAATACTGTGTACGTGGAAAACTGTGTACGTGGAAAACTGTGTACGTGGAAAACTGTGTACATGGAAAACTGTGTACGTGGAAAACTGTGTACGTGGAATACTGTGTACATGGAATACTGTGTACATAGAATACTGTGTACGTGGAAAACTGTGTACGTGGAAAACTGTGTACATGGAATACTGTGTACATGGAAAACTTAATAGAAATAATAAATAATAGAAATAAAAACAAAAATAGACTAAAAAAAGAGAGTCAGGTCTGTTTCTGGTGGAAATGGCAAAAGTTCAACGATAAATGGGAACGTTGAAAGAACCTTCTGCCCTTTTCTCAGATCACACAGAAACATGTACAATCTTAGTAACTTTATTTGCTAAAAATAAATCAATTATGCCAAGATTCTTTGCTTGTTTGTCATGTAAGAAATAAAAAACACAATGCTTTCAGTGGGAAGACACACTGGAAAATATCAGATGGAAACAATAAGAAAAACAAATGAAAATTAAAGCCGCAAGCGGCGTCAAACGGCCCTCGGCGCACCGCGCTACTCCCCGCACCGCGCGCACTTCCCGCACTGCACCACCCCCGCACCACGACATGTACTTATGTCTTCAACATTTTGATAAATATTTTCTTAAAAACTAGCATCACAAACTTTTTTTATCGAAACAAGAAAAGTTTTTGGAAATAAGTCAAAATACTTAAAACAAGCTTAAAACACTCACTGCTCAGACTTTTTTCTCTGATAAAATTATCAAGTTTTATCATCAATAATCTTATGACAAACTAAACAAAAAAAAACTTAATTCATGCATAACGTCATTTTTAGTAAACACATTTGACCAAGATTTCACTTCATTTTCCCGCGCAGACCTCACGCAGCAGCATTAGCAGATATTTAATAATAACTTCTTCAAATGCTGTTTCCTGGGATTTGTGAAGACAGAACACACGCCAAGACCAAAGGAATGCTTTTAACGTCGACACAGATGGGAATGTTTTCCAATTTACAGACAGGAAAGTGATGAACTCGCATTTGTAAGCTTCATGTAACATTTACGAGTTGAATAATACATTACACATTAGCACCGCGCTAAAAAGATCAAATCCAGAGCAGGACCGAGCCGATGAGGTCTCCACAAACACGAGCTGAGGTTGTGCAGATGAAGAGCGTCTGATGGTAATTGGTCCCAGTGGATTTGTGCTGGGAGTAACCCGGGCTTTATAACGGTACCAACACGTGCACGCGAGGCCGGGATCCACGTTTGCTGAAGAGTGAGCACCAAAAGGAATCTCTTTTCTTGACAAAACGCTCTCTGTTGTTTACTACACTGGAAAAAAGTCAAATATTGGTGAGATTTATTCACTAAATTATGCTTCATTTTTTAACGGCAAGTGTTTTCTGCTTGAATTGAGTTTGTCATAAGATTATTTTACTAGTTTTAAAACAATAATACTTTATACATTGCCGCTCTTTCTTAAATTGCTGAAATCCTGAACAGACTATATTTTTAACCTTTAACATGTTTCACACTTCTGTCTTTTGCACAATCTGAGTGATTCTATCTTTGCCAAATTTGACATGTGCATTTCTCCATCAGAGATCAATAAAGTTTATTTTTTCTAACATATGTTTACTTTAGAAGGTTCTGGAAGTCATGGTCCTCCTAAGTGTGTCTGAAACTGTTTTTGTGGTTTACTATAGTTATTTTTCCAGACCAGAGCAGAGAGGATTCATGGTTTTACACTGGTCCAGACCAGAGCAGAGAGGATTCATGGTTTTACACTGGTCCAGACCAGAGCAGAGAGGATTCATGGTTTCACACTGGTCCAGACCAGAGCAGAGAGGATTCATGGTTTTACACTGGTCCAGACCAGAGCAGAGAGGATTCATGGTTTTACACTAGTCCAGACCAGAGCAGAGAGGATTCATGGTTTTACACTAGTCCAGACCAGAGCAGAGAGGATTCATGGTTTTACACTAGTCCAGACCAGAGCAGAGAGGATTCATGGTTTTACACTAGTCCAGACCAGAGCAGAGAGGATTCATGGTTTCACACTGGTCCAGACCAGAGCAGAGAGGATTCATGGTTTTACACTAGTCCAGACCAGAGCAGAGAGGATTCATGGTTTCACACTGGTCCAGACCAGAGCCGAGAGGATTCATGGTCCAAACCCAGTGGATCAGATGAAAATCCATTGGAGAAATGAATGAAGCATTTATCATTTGATATCTATCTAATCTTTATAGAGAAAAAAGTCTGAGCAGTGAGTTTTTATGCTTGTTTTTTTTTTTTTTTTTTTTTCAAAATAAGTTTGTTATGCTATATTTCAAGAAAGAAAATCCCAAATGTTTAAGAAATAAGTAATAATACTTTATTCTAGAATCAAGTCCTTTGGGGATATATTATTTTCTTGTTTGTTTGTTCTTATCAAGTCATATTTTCTTGTTTCTTTTGGCAGATCCTTTTTTATTCTTATTTTAAGCAGTATTTTACTTCATTTTTCTCCGTTTTTTCAAGTTGATTTCGTCAGCACATTCTGAACACATTAAAACACAAATCATTTGAAAATAGAAATAAGTGCAGGCAGAGACAGATAGTCCATTCAGTTTCCTGTTTAAGTGTCCTCAACCCAAGAAGCAGTGAAAAAAAGTAATTAATCACACGTGAATGGCCTATCATAGCTACAGCAGGCACGTCGCCATAGCAACCGCCTTCTGGCAATAATGTTAATCTGCACCACAGCACGTTTAGTATGAGCTGTTTCTTACTGTAGGCTCTGTGGCAGTCCAGCAAACGCAGATATTTGACTTTAAGAGCCTTTTCTGAGGATATTATTGAGACGTGTGAGAACATAGAAGGTCAAAGGTGGTTGTTGTTGACGCACGAGTCGCGGCCGTATCATGATAAGAATAAAAAAAAGTAAGAAAACTGACATTTCTCTGTGGGACATGATGCAACGATAACCGGAAAGTTGTTGAAATCATTGTTATTCTTGTAACGTGATTGGTTTGAGACGAAAGCTGCAGGTTTGGGTTGTTCTCTGTCAGTTCTGTTTTTGCGAGATGATGTTTGGGGAAGTGAAAATATTGTTATGTAAGGGTTATATAACGAATTATGAAAACATTTTATATGACACACTCTGCTTTGGTGAAAGGTTGTCAAACACTGTCTCACTCAAAGCGGAAAACTAAAAACATCAGTATGAGAGAGTGCGGCTGCTGCGGTTCAGTTTGGAGACGTTTTCACAAAAATCAGAAGAAATCCTTTATTTGTCTCACGAGTTGTGAGTTTTCCATGAGCGTGTGTGCTTAACATGCTGTGGGGGTGTACCCGGAAAGAGAATTAGCTCCAGCCAGTGGGGGGTGGGTCCCGGCTCTAAAAGGTCCATGATCATGTGCGCTGACAGGCTATAATCTCGCTCCTTGACGGTGGGGGTGTACCCGGAAAGAGAATTACCCAATGCTTTTGTATGGCGTCTTCTTTCCTCTCAAAAACGTCTTTACAGGATGGTCCAAAAGTGGCTCTTGGTCTATTTTTATTTTGTGATTTATTCATTTATTTGACAGGGACATTACAAGTCAACATAGAACAAAACAAGCTTGTAGCTGATGCGATGTAAAAAGAGTTTATGGCTATTGCTAATTTTCAACTCTAGTCTCTGGTTGGGACTTGCTACACTACATTAACATTTTCAATATTATCTTAAAAACGTACCTATATTCACTGTTTAAATCATTTACTCAAAGTCAGTGCTATTTACAAATATACAAATGGGTACAATTGTGATTTAATTTCAGCCGGCACTTAACTTGAGAACTGAACATTTTAAACTCAGTCTTGGTGACACGCTATGTTTCAGATGCTGTTGATGCTAAAGGGAGGAATATATATATATATATATATATTTTTTTGGACCAGTCTAGTTTAGCCGCTGTGGACTTTTGAATGCACTCGTTAAATGAATGGGGCTAGTTCAGCTAACACATGCGCAACTGCCTTTTTTCACATTTCCTGCCTCGCGGACACTCTGAAATAGCCATAGGGGTGACTACATCTGAGGATCACCCTCCCTGTACAGGGAGGATTCAGTTATTTTTCATTTAACAGCATCAGTATTAGAATTCACTTGTGTCAATATAGTCAAGCTATATCTCTTTTGAAAGCTTATTCCGACCTCTATACACGTATTATGTTCAAATAAACATTAAATATAACAAAAAGTATGAATAAGTAGTCAAACTGTATATATATTTAAAATATATATTGTCCTTTCTTACCTTGTCATGCTAATATTCTGGGGCAAATCACGTCTAATCCACACATGTGTGCATTCGTTTTGTTCGTTAGGGTCTAGAGAATAATTATATCCAGTTGTTTTTTCTTCAAAGTCATCCTTATAGTAGATA